ATATGCACTCAACTGTTAATAATGTTGTTAGAAACTGTCTCACTATTGAGAGGGTTAACTAGTGGCAGGACATCAATCAGATTGATTTTAAGATTTAAATCTGATTGGATTAAAGAATTAGTCGATGTCCGAAAGTCAATGTTGTTGATAAGGTTATTACAATTTTCATGGTAACTGTAAACCTAGTCGGATATAAAACACTGACAAATCTGAACCAAATCATTCTACTTTCAACTACACTTCTAAACTCTAGTCAGTTCTCACAACCATCAACATGAGAGAAATCGTTCATATGCAAACTGGTCAATGTGGTAACCAGATCGGAGCTAAGGTAATTAACTCGTTTTATATGTGAAGACTTCAGTTGTTGTTTTGTTAAACATTCTGTTCAGAAGCGTATCTAGAAAATGCACGAGGAGGAGTCGAAAAATGAGAGGTTGTCAGAGGCTCCCAGAAGCCGACGGATTTCAAATGGTCTACATTCACAGGGCCCAGTGCCTCCCTCAACTACTGTTTCTGTTGACCACGAATTCTAACTATTTTTTGTAAATCAGTTATCTTTTGTTTCAGTTCTGGGAAGTGATCTCTGATGAACATGGTATTGACCCAACTGGAACTTACCACGGTGATTCTGATCTTCAGTTGGAGAGAATCAACGTTTATTATAATGAAGCTACCGGTGGTAAATATGTACCTAGAGCTGTTCTTGTTGACTTGGAACCTGGTACCATGGATTCTGTAAGATCGGGACCCTTTGGCCAGATCTTTCGTCCAGATAACTTTGTCTTCGGACAATCTGGTGCTGGTAATAACTGGGCTAAAGGTCATTATACAGAAGGTGCTGAATTGGTAGATTCCGTTCTTGATGTGGTCCGTAAAGAAGCTGAAAGCTGTGATTGTCTTCAAGGATTCCAGTTGACCCATTCTCTGGGTGGTGGAACTGGTTCTGGTATGGGAACCCTCCTCATCAGTAAAATCCGTGAAGAATATCCAGATAGAATCATGAACACTTTCTCTGTTTGTCCTTCACCAAAGGTAAGATATTAT